CTAAAATTTTACACACACACTCTCTTCATCTTAATAATCAAGTCCCCCAAAAAGAAAGTTCGATTTGAACCCTAGGTATGGTCAAAATAGCCCTCTCCAAAACGAATCTTGATCATTCATTTTGTGAATTTCAAGATCTTAGCCTTTATAAAGTCAAAATCATTTTTTTATTTTTTAACATTGTTCATCTAATGATAATAAAGTCATTCAAAAAAATTAGAAATGAAAAAATCCTTCTAAAGTTTAGATCTAAGCATCTCACCAAAATGAATGGCCTATGTTAATTGGGCTAAAAAAATACTTTCTAGGTTGTATTTTCAATTTTTCTTTTTTTGTGATTATTCATTATAATGAAAAGAGTGTATATTTCAAATTTTGGATCAAACAAATGGCCATAAGATGGTTTTTTAAAGTTGTTGCATCATATTACTATACAACGGTTACATTAAATCATTGCTCTACAAATAATATTTTTAATTCTTGGGTCTCATGAGATATGGAAGTTAAAAATAGGGGATAGAAATAGTTTCCCTAGAAAATAAGAGTGAACTCTCAAATGTTGATAGGAATAATCTAACCCCTTAATGATTTTATAATGGGTTTCATACTCTTTAATAACATAGCACGTAAACTCCTAGTTTGCTTATGCTCCAGTGGTCAAATGACCTACTTGGGAGGACTTTTTTCCATTTGCAATTTTGGCTACCACCTAATAATAAATAGATTATTCTCAAAAAATTAAAGCTGAGTTTTCTAACACTTAGATCTCATCCTTTAAAATTTTAAAAATTGAATAGTTTCTATCCAATCTCAAGATATTATTTTCTCAAGTGCTTATAAGGTACAATTAGGAATTTCTTTTTATTTAGATCAATATGTGTTAAAGAGATTGTATTCCAAAAATTTAGGGAGTAAATGATCCGGAGTAGAATATCTTTTGACTTAATGATATTCTGGTAGGTTATGAATTTCTGTATGTACTGGCGGATTTGAAATCCACCAAATTTGGGTAGATTTACTTTCAAATCTATCAGGAAAACAATGGATTTGCTTTCAAATCCAAAAGAAGGCATTTTTTTGTTTTAACGAAAAAGTTGTTAATTTGTTTTTGTGAATCTTCGTTTGGATTCTTTCTATGATTTATCTCCATTTTTAAATTTTATCGTATTTTTCTTGATTTATTGGCTATGTTTGTTTTGAGCCGACTCACCAACTTGGCCACTTGGTTAGTGCGGCTCAAATCGCTGGATTCAACCTCCCAGTCTAATTTTTTTAAACCTTGTCTTGATGAATCAAGAATCAAATATCGATCAACAAATCGGAGAAAGAAACAGTACTAATATTGAGAAGCGTTTTCTATTTTTAAAACTAGTTTTTATAGGTATTCTCATCATCGTTGTAATGAAAAAGTACCAAGTGAGGGATGAGAAAATGAATTGTAACTTTCATGCAACAGGATTATGTAATTTTCTATCTTTAAAAAATCCAATGTAGATCTATTACAAACCTATTATTTCTACAAGAATAAATTAATATGTATACAGCCTTTATAAGTGCCAATCCCCTTCCAAAATCCCCACGTAATTGGCTCTTAAATCCAAACTTTTAGAGGTTCATAATCTAAATCAAACTGAAAATGCTAAAAGGTATTTTTGATATTTCTTTTACATGTTCATTCTATTTTTTTGGTAGAGGCACAATTTCTGCAATCCATCTTAACTATGGACATTTGATTTATTTGGGAACACTGGCCAATAATTGTACCAAAAATGCTAATCTAACCATACCTAACATAAAATGATTGATACGTGCTCTATATATATATATGGGAAAAAATGAGATTAATCTACTAGCTCATTTGAACATATGAATCCAACGTTCCAAATTGAATCTGGACCGATCAAACGATCACAGATGTCCAATAGTATTTAAATTTTAGTTTTTTTTTCTACAAATCCAAATCACTTGAAATTTTAAGCTTGTGTTCATCAAATATAGGTGAATCTTCAAAAAATGTCAAAAAAATATTTTACATAAAATAAATTATCCAAAATACCCCTTAAAAGCTTTGAAAGGTATTTTGATCATTTTATTTTTCATGAATAATTTTTTTTATACTTTAATTAAGTACACCTTGATGAGAAGAACACACCTAAAATTTCAAGTAATTTAGATTTATAGAAAAATAAATAAAATTCAAACACTACCAGACATATGTAATCGTCAAATTGATCCAAATTCAATCTAAACTGTTGAACTCATATGAGCTAGTGGGCTAATCTCATCCTCTCTCTTTTTGTTTCTCTCTCTCTCTCTCTCTCTCTCTATATATATATATATATATATATATATGGTATGATTTCTATGAGGTTGCAACCTTAAACATTCCAATTAAAGCGCACCTCCAAATTTTATCATAACATGTAATTTTGTTGTAAAAAATTCTTACAATTATCTTAAAATCTATTTTCATATCTAATTAAAAAATTTTAAACTCCAAAAATGGTTAAAATCAATGAGATTATATATAGTAAGATTTCTATGAGGTTGCAACCTTAAACAATCCAATTAAAGCGCACCTCCAAATTTTATCATAGCATGTAATTTTGTTGTAAAAAATTCTTACAATTATCTTAAAATCTATTTTCATATCTAATTAGAAAATTTTAAAACTCCAAAAATAGTTAAAATCAATGTGATCTATAAACATATAAAAATATTGAAAATGGACAACTTAGATAATGTATTGCAAAATGCACTATTTATTAAACTCAAAAACTTTTTTTTTTTATATTCATACATCTCAATATCACGATGATCAAATAAAGGGTTTTTCAACATTAAAACAGCCTTTCCGATAGATTTTTCAGGTGCATATGTAATTCTACATTTTAAGGTTAAAACCTTATATAAACTTTTCCCATATATATATATATATATATATAAGGATAATCTAAGCTTCTATAAAGGTAAGATAGACGAAGTTGTAAATGGTGGATTTATTCATTTAATAATCTATTTTAACACATAAGTTACTTTTGTGACGTAATTTTGTAAATATTACTACAAGACAAAAAGTACTTCTGTCATCTCCATAAAAGGTAAAATTAAAATTTTAACTAAATGACAAAAACACCATACAAATAAAATTCTAAAATACTAACTTTCAAAATGTCATTGTATTTTTGTAAAAATTTCAAATTTACCCTTGCTTAATGATAAAGTTACCTATTTAAATAATTTTTTAATAAAAAAATAATCATTGTTTTGATAAATATATTCATCACAACCCCTTCCAACTTGATCCTTTGTATTTTGGGGATTGTTAAACTTAAGACAAATCCATATATATATATATATATAGAAAATATTTCCTTCACTACAGTCTGCAGCATGTTTAGTTACCGCATCTTACATAATTTTGGATCGAACTTTTCGATAGATCATGTTCCATGAATTCGAAAGTTCTTCCTACATATTTCCAAATCCATTGGACTCGTTTCAAAGCTTCTGCTTTTAATACATCTTCTAAATGATACAACAGGCTAAAATTAGAACCACATTTCGACACGGATGGTCCCTCCCATGTCCAAGTTGAATTTCCATCAGAGACTTGTCGCTCTTATCTCACACTAACAATCATTTTACAGCGATGTTACAAAAAAATAATACAACAAGAGTACAGAAAATTGGTCATTACCATTCCTGCACAACCAAGACAAACAGATCAAAGATTAATAAAACTATGGTGTCAAACCAACTGTACTCAATGGCAGACAAAAGAGCAAGAGGATTTAACCAGAACACATACCCTGATTACAAAAGGAAAGTACAATAATACAATGGAGTGAGGAAGGTTAAACAAATCATCACCACCTACAGAATTGGCAACCATTAATACATTATGCACAGACCAACGAACCGAGTGATCTTTGAAGATGCAACTCAGTGATCTTTGAAGTGTACTCAAAGATCACTATGGACAACTCAAGTATAAAAGCAATGCTACAATGAGTTAAGGATTCTCAAGTAATTTTAGGGAGGAAAGTAGATATGAGGTAACCTAGATGGTTCCAAACCATGATTTTCCCAATAGAAGGGTTAGCTATTAAAAAATCCTCAAAAGAATAATCATCTTATTATCTTGGCTTTTGTGTGCAAATGAAACCTCTGTTGTATGTACGTGATGGGGTATCTAGTACATGAGCCGACATTCCCACTACTTCCCCGACACATCCATATAATTCTTAATTATAAATTATTTTATATATTTTAAAATATATAAAAAGTATAAAACAAAATATGGAAATAATTTTGAAAAATGAGGAATGTCAAGAAACTTTCATTTACAATTATATCTACCATAGAATAATCATAAAACATTCTAACGAGTGTAACGTTTAGATGTTAGTGATTTGTTTTATGATTCATGAAAAATACATTCGTTTGTTAAAAAGGAACTTAGCCTCTTTGAGAAAATTTATTTATTAAGGGAATGTATAGGATGAAACCATTTATTTTTTATGCAAGAAGACTACAATCATTATTGACCATTGGATGTGAAATTGAGTGGTTGGAGATGCATCACTAATAAGGCACAAAGTCCCAAATATTTTTTTTTCGAAAGTTGTGATGCGTTTCAATACGTCGACTAATTGTGACCCTCTTATACAAAACATGAACGGTCTTATAGTATACAAACCCTTTTATTAAATACCGAGCTCTAAAAATATGTCTTATAAAAAAAAGGTCAATATAACAACAATGTTTGGTAGGCCTTGTGGTAGTGGGACTTTATATCATCTAGTAACCCAAGTTCAAATCCCATCAGGAAAGTGATAGGCTTTTGAGTTTTTTATCAAAAACTGATCTCTAAATATGCCTTTCAAAAAAGAAGGTAAATATAACAAGGGGTGGTAGGCCATGTGGTAGGTGGGAGTTTGTCTCTCCTAACAACCCATGTTCAAGTCCTACCCGAAGAGTAATGGACTTCAAGGAAAGCGGATACTTTGTATCTGCGGTGGCAACACTTCTTGTGGAAGTGTCTGACACCATACTGTACTCAATAAAACAGACGACACCTAGACCATACATCACCATTCCATATCTGCCCATGCTAACACATGTCTATAGGTAGACACAGGTCAACATTTGACACAAGAACCCAACAGGAATTGGCGTAACACTAATCAAACCACCATCTCATTGGTCTTCTCTTGTGGAACAACCAAGGAAATCCAGCATCATTTGAGTCATCGTAAATTGTAGCATGCTACAACAGACTTATAAGTCCTCTTCCTACAAGCAATTCCTTCTTGCACAGGCCCTTGCTTATATGTTCACAAAACATTCAATGCAGTTGGAATGGTAGACATTTCTTCAATTCCTTGCAACACAAGCTGTCTCATTTAGGGGACGAAGAGAGGCAGACTGTCATACCATGACTGAGCTGCGATGCTAATTACTATTTTAAAATGCAGCGGCATAATGCGCTAAGCACCAGATTCAACAAAAAAAATAAAAAAATAGAGCCGCATAATGTGTCATGCTCCAGGCCGCATATGCGGAAAAATATAATGCAACCAATTGCGGTGCATCAACCGAATATGCACACACATCGGTAGTGAATTCGGGCATATCACGTCACGTCACAAGCGATACGCGCACATATGCAGCCCATGCTCCTGGTTGAAAAATAAGCCCACGGGCATGGAAACAATTGTTTCCCCCTTGAAAAGGGAGCGGGAAGGGAAATAGCAACATAATGCCCTTCCCCCCCCCCCCTCCCCCAACACACACACACCAGCACACACCAAAAAAAAGAAAAACAACACAAAAGTTAGAATCATTTTACATGGTTCTAGCGTGATTAAAAACCAAAAATTTCCAACTTTCGATTATTTTCTTGAATCCAAAGTTTCTAAAAAAAAAAAAAAGGTGAGATTCTTTTGGCTATCCTTAGCGATTGTTTTGGGCATTATTAGGAGGGTATTTTGGCAAAGAAAAGATTCACCAATTAATCAAATGTTTTCAGTAGCCGAGTAGAAATCGAAATTTCTTTTGATAGTTGGGTAATTTTTAATTTCATAAAGCTTCCTTTTTGGGGGCCAATATCTTAATCATCTTCTAGTAACAAGCATTAATTCCCTAATGCTTCCTTTTTTCGGGCCTTCGGCCCTCCGGGCTTTTAACGGCCCTCCGGAGTCATCCTTTTGACTCTAACTTGACATATCTATTTCTTCAGAATACAAGACATCAATCCTCAATATGTATTCCTCTTATTGGGCTATCAAGGGGCTTAGAGTCTCAAACAACTAATATATTAGTAAATTAAAAAATGTACTATAACATAAATTACATTCTTTTGGCTATCCTTAGCAATTGTTTTGGGCATTATTAGGAGGGTATTTTGGCAAAGAAAAGATTCACCAATTAATCAAGTGTTTTCAGTAGCCGAGTAGAAATCGAAATTTCTTTTGATAGTTGGGTAATTTTTAATTTCATAATGCTTCCTTTTTGGGGGCCAATATCTTAAATCATCTTCTAGTAACAAGCATTAATTTCCTAATGCTTCCTTTTTTCGGGCCTTCGGCCCTCCGGGCTTTTAACGGCCCTCCGGAGTCATCCTTTTGACTCCAACTTGACAAATCTATTTCTTCAGAATACAAGACATCAATCCTCAACATGTATTCCTCTTATTGGGCTATCAAGGGGCTTAGAGTCTCAAACAACTAATATATTAGTAAATTAAAAAATGTACTATAACATAAATTACATTAATTGTTTTATGTATTATTATATTTTTTATGGTTTTATAATTTTTAAAATTGATTAACCACAGCAGAGGAGATGCCTGCATTGGGACTGCATCGAGCCGCATTGGACCCCGACTACATCGGGTCGGCATCCTGCATTTTAAAATACTAGATTATCTTAAGAGGGTTAAATGAAGATCAAAAGATGAATTGTGTCAACTGTTGCCATCAAGAACAACCCTCTCCACTGACCCAATGTGAAAACTATCTTTTCCAATGGTGATCTAGAAGAAACACCAATGATCCCATTACCTAGACTTGAAGAATAATCATGAAAACGAATTTGGCACATCAACTATACATTACCTGGACTTGAAGAGTAACCATGAAGACGAACTTGGTATGTCAACTCACCACTACCACATGTGGAGCTTGGTTTCTGAAGCTCCACAGACATCACATTAGAAATACACATCTAATAGAATTCCACCAAGCTTATGCCAAACTACCTAAGATGATTAATCTGGTCAGGCCACTAGTGACAAGAAATTTCATGCATGATGTGCCTGATTTGCCGTAAATTCAGTCATGACTGGATATTAAATTTCAGCAGACAAATCCATGTTAGTTCAGAAACGTATAGGACTAAAGAGAAAATATATTTTACCAAATGAAGAAACGATTTATACGAATCTCAGACATAAAAATCAGTTATTGATCATATGAACTATTTTTGTTCAAAAGGCCGGATAAACTGCTTGAATACTATAATTCGTTTTTAGCATTCATGGAGGGAAGAGAGAAACTACCAAGACACGAGTGCTGCCCCTCACCAGTGACCCCCCCTATCAGCAGGTCTTGCATATAATGTTCAGCAATGACAGAATTGTTTTGCAATATTTTGTGATATGATTAACAGAAGTGTAAACAAGGGCGAGAACTAAGTACATGCACGAAAGAAGAGAGAAATCTGAATACATCCATATCCACAAAGTTAGGACCTAAAGAGGTAGGCCAGAAAGAAATGTGAATACATCCATATCCACAAAGTTTACCTAAAGAAGTAGGCCATCAACAAGGGACCAATGTTTTGCTTTGTAAGGTTTGAAGGGAAAATTTTTAGCAAGGTTATCAAATGTGGAGTGCAGACTAGATGCACTGGGAGGTCCGATGTGTTATGCACCTTGATGCGGCCGCAATGCAGGGACATCACTTCTAATATGATCAACAAATTAAAAAAATAAAAAATCTAACAAAATACGAGAGTTCAAAGAATGATATGACTTTGATTAATGTGATAGCAGGCATTTTAATTTAGAATGCGTCACTAACATATATGTTGTCCACGTAGCTGATAGAGTAACAGAGAAATTTTTGGTCTTTTTTACGCTCTATAGAGCAACATGTAAAATAAATTCATCCAATCCATTCATTTAATTATAGAAAACACAAAAGAATATGTATTATACCAATGAGGCACTTACAAAATAAATTAGCATCTAGCAACTAAGTACACTATGGCAACTAGTAAAAATGCCAAATACTAAAAATGTCTGAAGTACTTCACAATTACATAACAAATAGAGATGAAAAGTTCATTACCTAAAAGTATAAAAGATGACTACACCCAACTTTGGATTTCCAGGTTTGATCTACTTGGCCCTTGACATTTTTGTTGGCAATATGGCCTTTCAAGGACTTAATGCCAAGAGTCTTTCGCTTAGTCGGAGTGCATGAAAGAGAGAGAATCTAGTTGCCTTGCGAACTAGGGCCCAGATTCTCTTAACCCAAGTACATGAAGCATTGAGAGTTTACATTTTGAGAAAGCAATTTCTCAATGAGGTGTGAGGGTCACCTCCTACTCAAGAATTTCAATTAGAATGCCTCGTGATTAATTGTGATTGGCCAGGGCTTGGAGAATCCAATCGAGTAGAATAGAACCCGAGTATTTGTTGAAAGTTGGCCCTGTATGGGATGGTCAAGACTCATGGGACATGAGTCTGTAACCTAACACGAGACCATTCCATAGCATGTGCGCCTTCATTCGCAAGGGAAGCCACTCTTCTAAAGTTTTATCCGGCTTCGAAGAGCCAGTGCACATGTGCTTTGAGAGGACCTTTG